TGTTCGATTAAGAACTGTTGAACTGATTTTATTTCCAGAATCATTTGAGAAGTGGGGAATAATCTTTCATCTTTCGTGTCGGTTTCTGAAATTCCACCAGATTCATCATTTCCTTTCACCAAAAAAAGATGAGATGAACATGTCTTTTCAATAAATAAATTCATTCTTAAGGACCCTCTCTACACTGCACCCTATTTTCAGGGTACTTTTGTGTAATTAGACTGACCTACCATTTGACATACAAGTAGAATAAATTGTAATCTGAACTAAATCACATAATTTGAAATAAATCCAAGTATTCTAAACATTATATTAGACCAAGATAGAGTATTTGAAAACTTTATTTGCATGTATTTTATCCATTTGAGTAAGTGAAGGCAATTTTTCTTTTCTATTACTTCATTGTCTTTGAAGATTTTTCCTGAATAAAAAAGGCACGCTCCCTATATTAAAAATGAGTTAGTTAATTTCAAAATATCCTCCTTTATGCTAAATAATTTTCTCAAAGTCCCAAAAACATTTTTCATCAGTGTATAGAGGGTCCTTAAAATAAATGATTGTATTTTTTTTTTTTGCACAGTCAGTGTTTATATATACGTATGACCCCTTTAAAGGAAGCAATGAACTTTCGATCGAAATCTTCATCGGAGAATTATCGGTTAATATAATAATAGCATTCCAAGAGCTGTTTTCTGATCACGAACTTAGAATTCATCAAACCTATCATTTACTATATCTCAGGTCTATAATACTGCATGTTAATGAATGACATACTAAGAATCTCCCTATGGAGTTTAATCAGATACTTAAATATTTGAAATATAAGGTAATCATTATACAGCATCGTCTAATTACTTTGTGACATTACACCAAAATAAGAAAAATATTAACACTTAAAACGATATAAAAACTGCAGTCTGTTTCTTCTATTAAAGTTTTTCAATGTCGATGACAACCAGTGATTTCCCCTGGAAACGTTTGCATGAGAAAATAAATCATCTAACATCATTTAATACTGTGAAAGAGAAAAAAGTTTTCAATGAGTATTTCAAACATTTTTGATAAACTGAAGTAATTTTCTGTGTTTTTAGGATGTTAAAATAATACACATGTTAAAACACATTTCACTCCTTGTTAAGAGTAAAATTTTCTTAATTTTCTGTATACATGTAGGTATAATTTTCCTTGATTCTTAATTACTCAGGATTCTGAACTTATCAACTGAATTTGATAGCTCATCAAACTGTTTGATATTTTAATCACTACAACTTTCCCTGTTTTAGCGACTCGCATGACTTGCTTCAATGTAATTACGAGTTGTTCATAGACAAATGCTATAATTTTCTTAATAATGACTACACGTGTACGATATTATTTTGATATTAACCATGATTTAGTAGATGTATGAAAATTAAAACAATACACACAATTTTACGAAAGTTATAGGTTTAAATAGATTGTATATGCAAGCCGAACGGCCTTGTCTTACGTCAAGCTAGCTTTGTGAATATGGTTTTTGAATTTTTATCACATTTTCGTGGGCACATGCAATTTTTTCTTCATCATGCCACGCTGCTAATTTTTACATGTAGAACATAGCTTAATAAATTCTAAAAATTCAAAACAATGAAATACGTCATTTACGAGCGTCATCAGTATAATTACCAGTCCGACACTGCGCTAGATTTATAACATCGTCATGAAAAGGAATATCTTGTTTTCATCAATTGAAAATAACAACAGTAGTTTTCTCTTGTAGTGTCTCAAATTGTACACACCGTAGAAAAATTGTAAAATATTGTTCGTATATATTTTTTTTTAAAAATCGATCACTCTTCGTTATCTTGATCTTTTCACATACTAAATCAATGAACTAAATATATTCCAATAATTTCCAGTTGTTTGAATACTTAATTCGCTCTGACGTCGTTAAAACCATATTAAAACTTATCTTTGTGATTGAACGCTGTTTCAGTCGGATGGCCGACGTCGCTTTTTCTGTCAATTTTTGACATTTTCTTGCGTTTTTTTTTTTTTTTAATATTTTCACTATCTGTATGTCCAGTAAGAGTTACTAAAGACATCAGAAAATGATGACAACCGCTTTATTCGAGACACATTAATATTTTTCATAAGTTTGGGCTTGTTTTGTGAATAAATTTATCATTTTGATCCGAAACCTTTATTTCAAAGCTTATGCCATTTGAACCCTGGGCAAGGCGCACTATCTTCAGCCTTTAAAGACTTTTTACAAAATATTACATTCAAACAACCAAAACAAAACTATTTTGACTTGAATTTTCATGACAAATATTTTGGTATACAATACGTTTATCTAGGACCATTCACTTTGATAAAAACGTCATTGTCCACTAACTTCATGGACAACCCTCCTATAAAGCTGGTAACGTTAATTTGAATTATGTACATCTTCAGCGTCAATCACATCCTGTCCTGGGAACTTGTTTACTTCTGTAATTTGCAGTTAGCCATATACTAGTATAGCTTCTATATAATTCTTTGTAAGTTATTCTGACTCCTGTTAATTCTACAGTACTATTCTATTCAATGTTACAGTCATGGAAGAAATTGTGGAAATCAATTAATGGGTTCAATTTTGGGGCCTAATTCTTCTCTTTTATTTATCTGTTGGTTTCATTTCAACTAACCTTGATACAAGAGGACTTGGTGGTCATCTGAATATCATGCAGTAAAACTTTGCCTCACTGTTTTATAGTTTTGCCTGTTTCTCATTTCCGGAGCTGCAGCTCAGACATCTGATCATCTTTTAAAGTTTTTTCACATACAGAGATTGTGGTTCGGTATGTTTCTATACACTCCTACTTTTCATTGCAGAAGGTAGTGTTTATATATTTTTGCAGAATGTTCAAAGGAATTGAAAATTATGAAGTTTTAATTGGCAAGCAATCTTGCTTTGATTAATATCAGGAAAAAAATTACCTGGGCAATCAATATTCTCAAAGACCTTATGTTATTAAATTTATAAAACATGTCAACACATGAGAGAAAAATGCTTAAATTTATATATGTTTATTCTGAAAAATTATTCCGGGATGAGGAGCATATTTTTAAAGTTTTTACGAGAGTACCGGGTAATATTGTGTTTCTAACTTGTGCATCTAAACATTTATACAGTTTGTTCTGCTCCTTGCTTAAAAGGAGAGAAAATATTACAAACATTATTTTATTATTTTAAAAGATATAATAACTTTTTATATTCAGCCTTACCGAAGGTTTGGATTTTCAAGTTTTGGTAAATGACAAATTGTTCAATGTAAGTGCTGTACTAAACAGCTTATCACTTTATAGTAAAGAATATTGCAGACATTTTAAATAATGTAAGATATGATACGACTACATTTTTTAAAACAATACGAAATCATATTTGTAAGGGTGTATAAATGAAAGAATTTCGATAGAGAACGATAGAGAACTAATCACTCACGGAATATTCACTCAGGTTGCTTGCTAGTTGTTAAACCTTAACAAAATTGTAAAGATCGACCTACATAACCATGATATAAATATGGTGTACTTATTTACATTTCTGTGTATGTGATTTGTATTGTCCTTTTTTCATAAAGTCTGGTTCTCATAATAGTATTAGTCCTTAACAGAAATTCATTATTAGAACACATATTGGTTTTGATATTTTATTCCTAAAATAGTGTTGTGAAGTAATCATAAACCCAGAAATAGAAATCAAGCGAACAATTAACTTAATACGCTCATTATTTGATGACAGAGGCGCTAATAAGGTGAGACAATCACTGAAAACAAAGAACATTTTATCTAAAATTAAACACTTACTACAATACAATAATATAATATATTTACTTTGGTGGCTAAGTATCAGGTCATTTATGTTCCTTTTTAGCTCTACTGGTCAAAGACCAGAAGAGCTTATGCGATAGTAAGGTGTCCGTCGTCCGTCCGTCTGTCTGTAAACAATTGTTCAAACTCCTCCTGCAGTTTTGGTCTGATTTCAATATAACTTGGCACACAAGTAGACTACACTAAGATACATAATTTAGTGCATCGGGTTTTTTTAGATTTCGATGAGTGGTGTTGCCATGGTTACTAAAAATAGAAATTTCTGTGAAATTCCTTTAAAACGCTACTCCTCCTACAGTTTTGGTCTGATTTCAATATAACTTGGCACACAAGAAGACTATACTAAGATAGATAATTTATTGCATCGGTTTTTGATTTCGATGAACGGTGTTGCCATGGTTACTAAAAATAGAAATTTCTGTGAAATACTTTCAAAACGCTACTCCTCCTACAGTCTTCGTTTGATTTCAATATACTTAGTAACTTGGCACAGAAGTAGACTACATTAAGATACATAATTCTATATATTGTTGCATGTTGCAAAGTTTCAAATCCAACTGCTACTTTTCCTTTGTTATACGTACAGACCAGTAGAGCTACAGTCTCATCAGAGACTTCTGGTTCTGCTTGTGACCGGATTCCTGAATATATTCATCAGATAAAGAAACATGCTGTTTGCTTGTTGTGATCTAATGTACAGAAATTAATGAATATGAATTGTAAGACTTCTTGTTAATCATATGTTCATAAAATAATGGATCACCATAATAAGAATACGACCTACAGTATAAATATGAATAGATCTCCTTATTAAGAATTAGACTATAAAATTCATGACTTTATCATCAGGAATCAAAGATTATTTTGGTGGCAATTTAAAAATAAAAAGCTTGCATGGCATTGTTATGCAGCATAAATGTATGATGGTACATTTATTTTATTTAGATGCATGTGAAAAAAAAAAAACACAACTGCAGAGATTCGTATAGTAGTTAACGCACTTAAGATTTCAATTTCTAATTGCAAATCATTGTTCAGGGGGCTGAAAGGGTACCATACGGTCAAAGTTCTACAAAAAGCATATTTACAAGAAAATAATTTTTCTAGAAAACACTGTAAGTTTGATATGAATTGCTTTACTGAGAATGTTGAAATGTTTAAATTACGATAGGAGGTTTAAAAGTACATTCTTTTGTCAGAGGAAGATTGATTCAGGTAAGTGGCTTGCCCTTGAGCATTTTGTTATTTCTTTTTCTCTCTGTAGGCTAGTCATTTTCCAAATGACCGTGGGACGGATAAAAAGTTTTAACTTTATGAGAAATAAAAAATATGTAATTAGGTTTGCTAAATATAGTAAATTTGTTTTTAAATTAAAATTGCTGCTATTCTTTGATGTAAACCAATTGCTATTTTTAAAGAACTAACATTCTTAATGATGTAATTGTCACATAATCATTACATCTGCGTATCAAAATTATGCTCTTCAAGTCCTTTCATTTTCTATTATCTAACCATGCACTATGATTTTTCTTCAGTGTAAAGAAAGGAATAGAGTTCATGCGATAATACTTTTGTAAGTATCTATTATGTCGTAGAAAAAATTCTGGTACTGACGCCATGAAAAAAACATTAATGCAATTGAAAGGGTTAAAATAACGAACATTGTTCAATGTCATAAATCATATAAACAATACAAATCGAGGACATGATAAAACACGAATAACCCTCGGAAACATCAGAGGTGGAATCAGGTACCTAGGAGAAGTAAGCATCCCCTGTCATTCGATCCTGTAAACAGAGTAATCCTTCGTCTAAATTAGTATAGAAACAATGGCTTAACAAATGGTATGGAACATGTCAGTCAAAATTCGACCTAGCAAGAAATTGTATTTGCAAACAAAGTCATTATCACAACCATAGAATGCTTACTTACATAATAATGTTGAAGCCCCTATTACATCAATTTTTTTGCTCAATAGCTTGCCTCTGTAAAGAAAAAAAATCAATCGTACCTTGAACCTGCTCTTAGGTAACATATAATTGAGGAGAAATAGACACCATAAAATAGAAGATTGCTAATTAAAACTTAAAAGATGACGATTGGAGAGTTGACGACACTCCCACGCCCCGTACGTCATAGAATTAAGTTATTAATTTCAATTAACGTCTATATTCAGTAAAATATCCAATATATATATAATATGTAACAGACTCCATGTTTTTTTTTATGTCGAGTTCATTGGGACATATCTAGTCGACATATAAATGTATATGATCGTTGATATTTATAAATGTCGAACTGAAGGTCAGAGCAAGCCTTTTCGTCTTCTTGGGTAGAGGGTTTTGAATAAATTCTGCTGCAGAAGAATACAAACACGTCGCGGTTAATACATATGCACCAAAAAGGAAAAGAACTCCAAGACATTGTTGGAAGACCTGGTCTTTGAAGACAACATAACTACTGTTAATAAGGACTTCCAGCACCATTTTAATTGATATCAACTTCAGAGTAATTGTGTAAATTGTGAACTTTTTACCATGCCAAGTAAATAGGAAACTATTTCATTGTTATACTGTGGGTCTATTTCATTGCACATTGCACATACAGCAGGCATTTCGTATACTGTAATAAAATGATTCTTTGTGTTGAGTATCTGTATAAGATTATATAATTTTTTTTTTATAAAAAAGGGAAAATAGCTTTGAATGATCAAAATTTGGTTTTGATTGCAAAAAAGAGATTTTATCATTCTAGACAGTGGCAAAAACAATTTTTACTCAAACACGTAGTCCATAAACACCCCAAAAGCCCGACATGTTTTCCCCTTATAATTGTGCCTACAACTATGATGCCATCATTTAATTCTTGTAATAAAAAGACACTTTACTAACTAATTTTTGTATTTCTTTTGAAATTGTTGAAGCAATTACATAAAAAAGACATTACAAATAAGTTCTTCCGGTGTGATAAGGTTTATTAATTTTGCAAAGGGAGACGTATCAGTGAAGGCATTGGCCTACACCTGAATATACTTGTCATAAACTTCGGAAGATGATTAAATTCCTTATAGATGCTTATTGAAGTAGGAAGTTTATTCCTGTATTAATGCAAGATCAGTCGATGCAGAATAATTCAATTATCTGTAATTTCTGATCTCCTTAACGGTGTGGCAAATTGAAAACTACTGAGAAAGTGGATTGGTAAGTCAAATTTATTTCTTCATACATATCAATATTTAATTTCATGATATACAATTACTTTATGGCATATGATAATATGTGTTTTATTATATTTATACTTACAGTCAATATAAATTTAAATCATAAATATACCCCGATTTGCCTTTATGAATGTCAACAGAATCTAAAGAGAAAAATTGATACACTAGTATCACCAACAGAGGTAAACTGACGATGTATTTTAAAAAAAACTTTATACAGGAATAAAAACATTTTGTATTTATTTTTCGAAAGCTTAGCAGGGAAACAATATTTTCTTATTACTATACCTAACGAGTTGAATGAATTAAAGGTAGGATATTCCGTAATTAACATTTGTACAGATTTCCTTCTTTAAAGAAAACAAATATAAAGCAATTGATACAATTTTGTATAAAAAATCTGCTTTCTAGATTATATATAAAGATACTCACACAAAGATGCTAATTTGGTTTAAATTGGTTTAGAGTTTCTGGAGAAAAAGGTGAAAATATTGCGAACAACACAAGAATTCAAGAGAGACCACAAGGGGACGAAGATGGACGCTGGACACTTTTCAAATAGAAAATCTCAATTGAACCTTTGCCTGAGGCAAGCTAAAAAGAATAGAAAATGAAGGAACAAGAAGTCAATTAGCAGGAAAATAGACATTTTTGTTAAAATCTCATAAGAAATAAACAGGACAAAGAGTTTTTTTTTTTTTTTTTTTTTTTTTTTTTTTTTTTTTTGTTTTTGTTTTTTTTGTTTTTTTTTTTTACTTTTTTTTTTTACTTTTTTTTAAATGGTGTCTACTAATGATCACATCATCAGTGATAATCCAAATACTAGTTTTCTATTTGTTTATTATAAATTCCTTGTATTCATTTACATGAATTGCCTAAGTACTAAAATATCATAGAGTTTGCTAATGATGGAAATGTGATTAAAGTATGTTCACAAATTGACGCAAATTTATGTTATAAATGTAGGGAGGTAAATGGATATGCTAATGACAAAATGGATTGGTAATTACTGGTAATTTATGGCGAGAGGTTTCCCACAAATTGATCTTATGGTAACAAACATCTATTACAATAAAAATGATCCCCCAAGCTGAAATAGGTTAACTTTATCATGCACATAATGTACAAATTATGAATATTTGTTCCATAAATATATCGGTTTGAAATATTTATGGAAAACTGGAAAGCTCTCCTCTCTCTCCCCTCTCTCTCTCTCTCTACGATGAAATGATACTATTTTATGTCACAAATGTTTGTAATTTTCATTTGTTTTCCATTTATAGTTCTCGTACTTAACATAAACCAGTTGTTTTAAGAGAACTAGAGGTAAGCTGTTAATAATCAACGACAAGTACAGTGATTTGAAAGCATTGATTTATTGCACGTTTTATATGCTAAAGAGCTTGATTAAAAATGCTCATTTTTCAAATGACTAAAAAAACATATGTAGCATTGCATAATATGTTATCGTATGCCAATGAATAAGAGATGGATTAGATAAGCAACTACAGATTCTATAAAAATCAGTGAAATATTAATGAAAAAAATAATATACAATATAAAAGTTTGCTTATCAGATATAAACAATAAATCACTAAAAAATCTTGAGGGGAAAAGACATACGATTTATTGTGGTGTAATTGATGGAAGTGTCAAATGTAAGGAGATATAAAATCCATAACTATTCAAGTAACAGAAACCAACGAAAGCTGAGATACATTTAATTTACTAGTACCCGAAAATAACGCACCAAAAACTTTAAAATGACTATTTCTTAAAAATATTATCCATACTTAAATATTTAACATTGCGAAACACATTGTTGTAGGATTTAATATAGCAGGAAATACATTTTTCGGCTTTTGTTCAACCAAATCTCTCGTAGGTTAATTCACACTCAAGATTGTATTTGGATACAGATAGTGTCTATTCGCGTTTTCGCCAAAAAGTGCATGAATAAAGGACAAGATAGGCTTAGACCCCTTTTTGGCCCCTGGTTTGGGGTGTCTTTTAGAATGATTCAACAGTTTATTAATAAAACATGTTGTCATCCCTGCCACAAAATGAGTATTGGTTCTAAGTTATGGGGTACACAGAGGTCACAGGAAGGTCAGAAAATATGTCAATTTCCGAATTTTCTCAATTTTATGCAATTTTTCATTGATTTTACAGCATATTTTGTTTCAGAAAACATAGAGCACAAGCTTGCCTATCTTCCAAATTCATATATTTCATACACTAGTATCAGATGTATCTTGTATATAAAAATCTCAGATAGGCAAGCTTGTGCTCTATGTTTCCCGAAGTGAAAAGTATCTCAAATTTGACAAAATTTCACCAGAATTCGGGAAAATGTCCTGATTCTGCACTCCCTTGTGGCCCCCGTGTAAGCTTTAAATCAAAATTAGTGCTGGTTTTAAAACAAGCCACATTTTAAGTTCTTAACTACAAACTATCACAGTTTTAACTGTGTTCTGATTTTTACATCAAATAAGGGGCCAGATTCGGCTGTTACCATACCTTGTCCTTTGCGCTAAAGTTTAAATACACTGAAATAACATATACACTATTATCATTGTATGAGCGTGTGATTGATTGGAAAGGAAACCATAGCAAGATGTTTCATGGGACGATAATACCGGGATATACAATGTACAGAAATTCAACTAAATATTTTCGTAAAGGAAGTTAAAAATGATTGTAAGTACCTTGTAGTGGTTTGTGAAATTAGCAAATACACTGTAGTACTTTCTAATATATTACGTAACTGATGGGTTGATATATATATAGATGTAGAAAAGATGAGGAAAAAAGGCTGAATGTGTGAAGCTTTTCACATAAGAGTGGAAGTTATATTTGTCGGATGGATAATGACTCCGCTAATTACTCGACAGTGTGATAATTACTAGTCATTTACACTAAGACAGGTTCCCCAATCTAACCTTTACATTGCAAAGGTTAATCGCTTTAAATTGTTAATGACAAAGTGACGAGAAAAAATGACCTCAAGGAGGTTGAATGCAGATAGACATAATTTTTGTACTAAATTTGATTTTAATTTGAATGTTCATCACGTTTTTAAAAATATTTAAGATTAGTTGTTTTCTGAATGAACCGTCACTTTAATTGACACTGCAAAATGGTAGGTACCGTTTTTCCTTTGCAGCATCCTAATCAAATGCATTTCTTATAATTATAAGAAAAATTTGCTTTATTCTGTATGCGTACATTTTTGTTTTAATCCTTGCGGGGTTTTAGTCCAATTGTTTCAAAACATAATGATCAATTTTGATCATAAATTCAATTATTGCAATTCATAGAAAAAGCAATATATGGTGCATTCAACTATCTCTTAAAGATGCTTAATCTAGCATATAGCTCATGAAAAGTTAAAATTATTTCTGTATCAAATTTTTGCAAAAGCAAATACAAAAAATTAAAGGTTTTTAACACTCAATTAAATTCTTTATGTGATTCTGTCGAGTAATAGTTTTCCTACTTTCTCTCTAAGAAATTCCTTTAATTGCTCACAATTAGCAAAACTTTAAGGAAAGTTATTTTAGCCTATTTTGCAATCTTTTTTCATTTCCAGACGAAGGATTTTGTGACGAATTTGCTCCTTGTCGCCATTTACCTCGGGTCATGCTTGAATATACTGGAAAGTTGCAACTGTCCAAATATTACCAGAGAAGAAAAATTCTGCAGCAGTGACTACAGTAAGAATATCAAACCACTATTTCACAGATCTTAGTAACTTGAAAATAAGAATCTTGTATTATTATTATTATATATATATATATATATATATATATATATATATATATATATATATATATATATATATATATATATATATATATATATATATATATATATATATATATATATATATATATGTATATATATATATATATAACATTTAAGGTTTTATAATTTTCTTTCTGATCAACATTTACGTATTTTTTTAAAAGAATTTTTTGCTACATCTATAATATATAGAACAGAAAGAACCAATTGATTTTTATCGGAGTTTTTTTTTTTCACGGTAGTCATAAATATTTTGCATTTAAAGACCCTTCATTTAAAAAAAAAGATCTTTTCATATGTCACTTATAAATACTTTATCACTTCTGTAAAACGAAATAACAAATATTGTGTATTTACAGCTATCATTGGAAGATTAGTTGGTCGTTTTGGGACGCCAGGAGTAGACAAAAACATTTTTGTCATCCAAGTGAAATTTCATATCAAGGTTAGAAATTTTATTTCTATTCTAACACTTTTCTCTGACGGAGATCCCCATTGGAGTACACTTTTCTATCTTTTAAAATATAAATTTTAAAATGCTAAACTTTGAAACAAATGCCTAAAAGCTGTAAATATTTTATTGTTGTAGGGATCTGGTCCTAAATATATTGAACTTGAGAGTCCAACGAGTTCAACAAAGTGTGGTATTTTATTGAATGTCGGAAAGGATTATATTCTTGCAGGTGAGTTTTCTGTAAGGAAAAAAAAATATCATGTCTTAGGAATATATAGATGAATAATACCCTTTACTCTATCACACCCCGTATCAGCTAGAGACACCGATATATGATAGAGGATCATTTAAATTCCGAATAAAGTTAAATTTTGATGAGTAATAGATAGGTATATTCATCCAATGATACATAGTAAAATTTATTGAAATCGCAATTTCCATTCCATTTAGGTCAAATCATTGAAGGGATAAGAGGAAAAATTGATTCTTGTTGTTGGATGGAACTATGGGATGACATCCCACTCCATATAAAATGGCGTTTGTTCCACAAGCGAATGTCCTGCAACACACAGAAGTATAGCGCGCCAAAAATGCAGAAACAACAAATCAGCAGCTATAAAAAATCCAATACAATATATCCAAATAATCAACAGATGCCACAAACTTCTACAAGATACAATTTGAACCAAGTGTATCATATATCACCCCCGAAAAACGCGTTAAATCAAATGTTCCACATCTCACCTCAGCTGGCAGGAGGAGGTGATATGGATCATAGGAATAGAATAGGGAATCAAATGAACGTGGCGGAGCCGCCAGAAGGCACGGACTATGTAGGAGGGAGTGTCGGCATGATGTTTGGTGGTTACATGAATAGAAACCGTGATATGTACAATCGTTACAGAGAACTAATGGATTAGTATTGGTACCTGTGGTATTTAGATACAACATTTTAATTCATTGAATGTAATCATTTTCTTTTAAAAAAAAAAAACAAAAAAAAACAATTTTCGCCTATTAGAATGTCAGTAAATAAATTCAAAATATCATTTTTGTCACCCAAATTTTTCCATTATTAAAATAACCTCAAATTCATTCCATGTTTCTTTATAATAATATAATGTTTACTTGTCAACACGTAACAACCACCTTTTGATCTCCAATGAGTCCGAGTTCATTTGCACTTAAAAGACAGAACAACTTTGTTTTGTGAGAAAGGTCATTTATTCAATTTACCACAAATATATTTGATCAGTTGATGAAATTAGTGTCAATCATTGATTAACAAAAAAATGACTGAATAAATGACAATAAATTTGCAAAGGTGGGGTTAAAAAACCGCCTATCAATAAAAATAACATCAGTATAATAAAATGTGATATACATACAATTTTGAAACCCAGATTTTTATTACAAAATCATAAATAAGTTGTAGAAAGCAACAAGTTGTTACCAGAATATAATTATAATAACTGAACAACGCAAAAACAAAAATTAGTTTGCTTGTGATTTAGGACTGATGAATTTTTAAACAAATTATAGCAGGGTGCTGGTGGGTGGGTAAATTGATTTCTCGTAAAAAATTTAGGTGCGTCTGGCAGCTATTAAAACAAAGAAGTGATTAAAGTGTGACTGCATTTTTGAAGTTCAGAAAATCTTGAAAAAAAATAATGTCAAACTTAAGTCTTTATATTCTTCTGATTAATCTATAAATCTGAGGAAATCAGTCCTATCCATTGATACCCACAAACAAGACATCCAATGATCAGACATGCACATGTTTTGATGAAGTTCGGTAATTTTTTTTCAATTTATTCCGCCTAAAAATCCTACGTTATGTTGACAGTATTTAAAGTTTAAATATTTATATATATTTTAATATATTTATTGTTTTTTTTAAATGTTGCTTTGATTTGGTTCTTTTGTGTTTGTAACATAAATCATGCCCATGCCTTGATGATTTTACGAGTGACAAAAAAAAAGATGACTTTATCAATTATAATACTATGACTTTACCAATCATAATACTATGTATAATTTATAATGTGATATAGAGTGTGAATGTATATAAATATTGTGTGTATGTGTTATGTGTAGAAAGGTTATCATTTTTATATGTGCATTTTTGACCGAGATGACTGTGTTCGACTTCTAATCATGATATTTAAGATTTTGTTCTGTTTGAAACACCGAAGTTGAAAACCAATCTGTTAAGCAGATACAAATATTCATCAATCATTTACAATCATGATTATAAGCATAAATCGATAAAATGTGAATATATCAAATAAAAATTCCGAAATGCCGACATTTATTTTGTACTTTTCATTTGGAAAGAAACACATTTACTTTTATAGTAAATATTTATCTCTATGATACAAAACAGAACGGCTTGTCATTCCTCTCCAATACTTCTATATGTATTTTATCCAATCATATGTGTCAATTTCTTGTCCAATTTCAGACTATTTTAAACAAATAAAATATTATTATAACATTTAACAAGTCACTTTCAAGAAAACATAATTTCAATGAAAAAGGCGACACAAGCTCTTCTGTGCCTTGATATTGACCATCTTAACGAAATCCCCATGTTTTTCAGGTTCTTTCAACGTTATCCTTCTGGACACACCATTTGTAGTTGAAAATGAAGACCTGAATTCACTTATTCTAAAAGATGCAACATTTAGCCAGACAAAATCATTGAAATGGCAAAAAACTTCATTCTATAATAAATTTTGTAGAAAGGTATGTCAAAGGAGACTTGGGCATCTTGTTAAAATGGATAAAAAGTATTATTATAGACATCTTGTTAGAATGGATAAAAAGTGTTAGTTGAATATTGAATTCTCAAATGAAACAGTCAAAGGGGAAATGTGTACCATCTGTTTTCGATAGACTGGAAGTGAGAAAAGAATGCAAAATATTCCAAAACTCTAATGGCCCAAGATGACAAAGATTAGAACAATCCTTATTTGTTAAGGCTTATTATTATTGTATTTTAGAAGATTAATTGGCCATCTGGTTATCCACAATATATACTCACAGTTCCTTTTAAAGTGTAACATTTGTCAAAATCAGGATTCAGTTTTAAACGATTTTAACATCCCAATCAACATAAATGAATTTGAATTACCTTAGCAATACTGGATTCCAAAATTAATAAAAATCCTTGCCAAAAAGATACATCAAAGGGCCCAGTAAATGTTTTATCGAACCCCTATATTTACTCTTCACGTAAATATTAACTGTTGTGAAGGTAAACTTCAGATATTCTGTGCTTCAACATGTTAAACAAGTATAAGTCAAATGTATTGTCTCAAGAACTTGAAAGAACCATTCCTCACAATGAATTAAAGACCACAGATATTTTGATATCATGGACAACTCCTTTTAATGCCCCCGTGTCGAAGATTCGGGGGTATATAGTTTTTTGCCCTGCCCGTCAGTCTGTCTGTTTGTCCGCAAAAACTTTAACATTGCCCATAACTTTTGATTGGTTGGAGCTTTGGCTTTCATATTTCACATGTGTATTCCTTGTGATAAGACCTTTCTTTGGGTACCACCATATTTGACCTTTTGACCTTGACCTTGGAGTTTAACCCAGTTTTGCAAAATTTTATCCAACTTTAACCTTGGCCCTAACTTTTGAACAATTGGTGCTAGAGCTTTCATACTTCACATGTGTAGTCCTTGTGACAAGTCCTTCCTTTGGATATCAACAACTTTGACCCTTTGACCTTGACCTACCAGTTTGACCTACTTTTGAAAAACTTTAACATTGGCCATAACTTTTGAACGATTGGTGCTTCAGCTTTCATACTTCAAATATGTAATCCTTGTGACAAGACCTTCCTTTGAATATCAACAACTTTGACCCTTTGATCTTGACCTTGGAGTTTGACCTACTTTTGAAAAACTTTAACCTTGCCCATAACTTTTGAATCGTTAGTGCTAGGCCTTTCATACTTCACATATGTTATCCTTGTGACAAGACCTTCCTTCAGATACCAACAACTTTGACCCTTTGACCTTGACCTTGGAGTTTGACCTACTTTTGAAGAACTTTAACTTGGCCATAACTTTTGAATCACTGATGCTAGGCCTTTCATACTTCACATATGTAATCCTTGAGACAAGTCCTTCCTTTGGATACCAACAACTTTGACCCTTTGACCTTGGAGTTTGATCTACTTTTGGAAAACTTTAACCTTGCCCATAACTTTTGAACCGTTGGTGCTAGGGCTCTCATACTTCACATATGTAATCCTCGTGACAAGACCTTGCTTTGGATACCAACAACTTTGACCCTTTTACCTTGGACTTTGACCTACTTTTAGAAAACTTGAAACTTGGACATAACTTTTGAAAGAAAAGTTGTTGCTAGGGCTTTCATATTTAAGATATTTTTTCCTTGTGACAAGATCTTCCTTTGGATACCAACAATTGTAATCCATTGACCTTGACCTTGGAGTTTGACCTACTTTTGAAAAACTTTAACCTTGGTCTTAACTTTTGAACGATTGGTGCTTCAGCTTTCATATTTCACCTGTATATTTCTTGTGAGAAGGCCTTTCCTTAGGCACCATAAATTTTGACCATTTGACCTTGACCTTGATGTTTGACTTACTTTTGAAAAACTTTAACCTTTTCCATATCTATTCAATGGTTGCTGCTGGGGCTTTCATATTTCACAGGTATATTCCTCGAGACAAGACCTTTCTTTGGGTACCAACATATTTGATTTGAATTTGAGAAAGTTTAACCTTTGCTATAGGTTGCCATACGGGGGCATCAGTGTTTCACAAACACATCTTGTTTCGATAAAAATGGAAATAAAAATTTAATATTTTATGATTAGTTATCTACAAAGCTATTTGATAAATTTCATTCTGATTCTACAACAATACTTTAAAGCTGATGTTAAAAAGATACTGGAATTTCCCACGAACAATATCTATCTACATTGTGTAGGAATTCCCTTGGGTAAAAAATATGCACTTCTATGACCTGGATGTTTTAGTGTTCTTATGAAGCAGAGTTTATTTTTAAAAAAGACTTCATTAGTCTTTCACCTGGCGTCATAATTTCATAAATATTATAAATAAAATCTCGCATTAGGCGATTGAGTGGCAATATGAAACCATCTATCCTTCTGTGTTCAATGAAAAAAAAGGAATTAAATAGATATATGATCAGTTTGTACTAGACCCAGCTGACAAAGCAGGTATCAATATTGTCTTTGTTTGTAGGGTTTAATTTTTAATTGTATTTTAGAGGAACTGGGATTTCACTCTCCAAGTGGAAATCCAACGTCTACCCATAGCTCCTTTTCTAAGGAAGAAATTCTTCAAAATCATATGTCAGTTTTAAATATATTTAAGATCCCCAACAATCAAAATGAATTTGAATTACCATATCTATACTGGATTACTAAACTTCATAAAAATCCTTACAAACAAAGATACATAGAGGGTTCCAGTAAATGTTCTACCAAGCCTCTTTCATTTCTTCTCACTAAAATATTAACAGCAGTGAAGGAGATACTTTAGGAGTACTGAAAGTACTGAACAAAAATATACTCAAGAAATGTAAATCTGATTTGGATACTTAAAAATTCCAAGAAACTTTTAGAAAAATTGAAATCACAAGATTTTACCAAAATCAATAACATCAAAAAGTACGACTATTTAAGTCTTTATACAACCATTCCCCACGAGAAATTAAAGTACTGGCTTTTTGACATCATTGGCAGTTGCTTTTTCAATAAAAATGGAACTCGTAAATTTACTTACCTTGCATTGGCCATTTGCAAAATTATTTTGTCAAAAAAAAAAAACAAAAACATTTTGATTGTATACACAAGTACTTTGAAGTTGAAATTAAAACGATGCTCGAGTTTCTGATTGACAATATCTATGTAGTTTATGGAGACCAGGTCTTCCAACAATCTGTGGGAATTCCCATGGGTACCAATTACGCGCCGTTATTAGCAGACCTATTTTTGTATTCATATGAAGCAGAATTTATTCAGAATCTTATACATGAGATGAAGAAAACCCTGCTGCGGCCTTCGTCTCGACATTAAGATATATCAACGACGTAATTTCAATTAACAATAGTTATTACTTCCATTCATATGTCGACTCTATATATCCCAGTGAACTTGAAATAAAAGACACCACAGAGTCTGACACATCTGTTCCATATTTGGATATTTTGCTAGAAAAAGATGGTAATGGTAACCTAACAACAAAACTTTATGATAAACGTGATGACTTCAACTTTTCAATCGTCAACTTCCCTTATTTATGAAGCAATATATCCTTATCACCTGCATATTGGGTTGATACGATACGCAAGAGCATGCTCTACATACAAACGATTTCTAAAACAAGGCAAGCTATTGGCAAACAGGTTGATGAATCAAGAATATCAAAAGTCTCGTTTAAAGTCATCATTTCGCAAGTTCTATGGTCGATACAATGGCCTTGTCAGCAAATACAAGCTTTCATTAAATCAAATTCTTACTGACGTTTTCATTCTAATTGTTAGGCAATTCTTTACACACTTTGATTGTCTACGGATTTTCCCGTTTTTCCTGATCATGACAAGGAGCACATGGCGGGTGTGACTGGTCTGCAGGGGATGCTTGCACCTCCATGTATTATTTAAATGAACGTCTGAGCTTGAATACTGTTCGTTATTTCCATATTTCATTAGAAGAAAACTCTTGCTATGGCCTTCAATTCAACATTAAGATAGGTGACGTTTATCAGTTTCCTTTATACGTTGACTAGATATATCCCAGTGAATACATAAAGGTTCATAATTGACTATTTTATTAACCGAAGACATAAAGGGTTAACTATGACAACAGGAATGTCTGAAGGTGTTCCATCGCCATCTAGCTATAATAATGTAACAATATTCCATTTACACCTGCATGCATTTGTATTGTTTGTTTTTTGTTTAACAACCCTCTCGAGAATTTTTCACTGATATGGAGAAGCCACCTCTTGCCGTTGGAGGGCGGCTGCAAATTTTGACTATACTTGACACTCAGGGCCATTGAGCAGTGAGGGATCTTTAATGTGCCAGTACCTATTGCGACACGGGACTTAGGTATCGATCATCCGATGGACCGGTTTCCATGTCCCACAATGGGGTTCGAACCCACGACGCAAGGATCAAAACTCTCTACTCCGCGACTCTAGAACAAACGCTCTAACCTATGCGCCACGCGGGCGACGTACGCATTTGTACATATTTCCCAACTGGTGTGTTGACAGGTTTCTCTAACCTCCTATAAAGTAAATATTTCGCAGATTTTATGGTTTTATAATAATCTGGTTTGCAAATAAAATTTATGCTGGGTTGGATTTTGATTAACATGTTTTATACTGACCGTTAGGCCATTGTTTTCATACTAATTTTGATTATGGACTATGTCGTTTATACCAATCTTACAGAGGGCTCAAGGCAGATTTGACCATTGGATCAATTACTGTTTCTTATTTTCAACTGTTTCATATTCTAAATAAATGCGGAATAATTAACAGATTATCAATCATAAATGATCTGTTAGTTAGCAGATTTAGTTTAACTTTGGTTTTGACATTTTATGTTTGTTAAAACTATTGAAACAGGGAGCATTTTTCTACGTCTTTATAAGAATGATCTAAAAGCCTTATTATGATATATTCGCATTAATAAATCTTTAATTTGTAGATGTAAAAATGAGAAATAAATTTGAAAACATATATGTTTCCAGTGACAGAAAAATTCTTTCATTGTATTTATTGTTAAATGTGAAATGCTTCTGATAAATGACAGATCTTTTTAAATTCACTACATGAAGGATCAAAGTATACTTGATTGATTGATGCTGTCGAAAAGATGATCTGTATAAAGAGCGAACAAAATTGGAATAAAATATCAACTGAAGCAAATATCACTCAGTATAAAAATAATGTCAACACTCAGGAATTATACCAGAAATTACTATTGCAGAATAGAGAACATATCTTAAAATGGTGAGTATACCTGATTGAAAAAAGGCGATAGAGAAATGTTCTATTTTTTCTGATTTTTCATGTAGATCAATATATAAAAGAAAGTAGTAAGAAACAATATTATCTATAGATCTTTTGATTTTTTTAATGATACATTACATTTTTTATAATTTATTCTTAGATTTAAGTTATTTATTTAGGGTAATAAACAGGAAATTTGAAGATACAGCTAATAGTAAATATTTCACGTCGACTTATTAAATAAAGTAAAGCAAAAATACTTTTTTTTTCAGACATCTTCAATGCGCTGCGTGTTCGATATACTATTTGTGGTCGTTACTTTGTTCTATCTGGTGGTCCTTCCCACGGAATGTTGTCAGTGCTCAAACGCTACAAGAGAGGAACGATATTGTGACAGCGATTTTAGTAAGCTTTTTAATAGATTAATGGGGAATATTTTCTTGCAAAAAATACTATCTAAGAGACTCATTGTGGGTGTACTGTAATTCAATGCAAAGGCGTGTTTTAGAAAATAAACTGTGTATGTTTATTTTTAGAGGTATATATGGCGTATCTAAGCTAAAAGAAAATAATACGATATTAAGTGTAGATATACATGATTTATGTTATGTACATTAAGATTATAATTTTTAGCGATAATAAACCTGGAAAACCAAATTTTTTTTTATAATTAATTGTATATTTATAAGATTCGCCATGCGCTTGACCATGGGAAAATACAACCTTGATGGATTGATTGATTGTATGTTGTTTTACGTCCCATTCGAGAATTTTTCACTCATATAGAGACGTCACCATATACCGGTGAAGTGCTTCAAATTTTGAACTTTACTCGGCACTCAGGGCCATTGAGCAGTGAGGGATCTTTATCGTGCCAACGCCTGCCGTGACACGGGGCCTCGGTTTTTAAGGTCTCATCCGAAGGACCCGCAACTTTCACTTCAACGTGCCAAGCGCATGGCGAAGGAACAGTTGCTACCTATTTTTTATCGACTTAGGTCTGTCGCGGCCGAGATTCGAACTCACGACCTTCCGATCACGGAGCGAGCGCTCTACCGACTGAGCTACCGTGAACGGTCAACCTTGATGGAAGAGAAATGTACACAATATTGTTTATATATCATAATTTTCTCTTTTCTTCTCTCCAAATTTGCCTATCTCTTCCTTGCTTTTCTCTCTGAATCTGTCAAACTGCTTTTGTTCGCTGGTCTATCCCTTGTTCCCATTGTTCGCCATTATTGTTGATTGTCTAAGTAAAGTGTCACACGATGAAATTTAGGTTATTCAAATATCTATAATTTTTGTGAAGTCAGTAAATAAATAGCTTATCGTTTTAAATTTTTGATATCTTTGAAACGCGATTGATTTAAATCGTGTATTTACAGAAAAGTCCTATCTATATATAAAATAATGAAAAAAAGAAGACTTTTTAAACTTTGATTGTCTAAACTTAACAAAAATATGCGATATATATAGCTTTAATGTAGATAATTTTGCACAATGCAAGCGATATTTTTTTCAAAAGCGAGAATTCAAATTTTAAAGTATCAATACATTGACATAAAACACCCCCCCCCCATATATATATATATATATATATATATATATATATATATATATATATATATATATATATATATATATATATATATATATATATATATATATATATAAAGGCATCCTGATTTTAGGAAACATATATTCTTCTCACTGATGCATTTTCATCCTAATACATTATGAAATTCTGTAGCCTCGCCTGAATGATAGGTTCAATCAGCTCTAATTTTGCAAAGATACTTGCATAAGTAATAGATATTTTTTCTGAAAAAAAAATTCAGAATTTGAATTAAAAGTTAAGTGTCTTTAATGAGTTTATTTTTAACACTCAATTTTGAAAACTTATATTTTATTTCCAGTCCTAGACATTACCTTGAGGAAAGGATACACTATTTGTAGGGCTAGATTTCGCCTCTTATTTGGCATAAAATTATAACTATGTCTCTCCCAGCGATAGATTTGGTATAACAGTCTTTCGGTTTAGTGCTCATACTTCCTAAACCCTTGATCGGTTGAATCTATTCCTTAGTCTGTTGTTGTTCTTGACTAGAAAATATGACATGATCTTAAATCAAAGTAAAGTCTTAAAGGTCATTGAAAAAGGAGAGTGTAAATCATGTCCCATAAGTTTGGAAAAATTTTAAAATTTCAAAGTTGAACGAGCATAAATGTGTTTAAAAGTAAAAATCAATTATAATCACGAAACAAACATGTTTGATTCTTACGCATTCATTCAGTGAGTCACCACAAAAAGGGCCCAAAAAGTTGATAATCATTTCTTCATTCGCTTCAGATGCAAAGGTTGTAGTCTATTAACGGTCAACAAGGAATATGTACTCCTCGTAGGCACCTGATCCCACCAATGGAACTTCTAGGGGTCCGTGTTTTAGGCCCTGTTTACAAATTTGTATCGTTTGTAGAATTTTTTATGATCATTGTTCGGCCGTAATTTTCACCTTTTTCATAGTACCCAGAAGATTATTTGTTACATATACCGATACACTTTCAAGCTCCACTTAAATCTCATCTCTCCTGAGTAATAAAAGGCATTTTGAACACCATTCAATTTTTATTTAGGTTTAGTTGGGATGCCAGTCGGCAAATTCCTGTCAGATGATAAAGTTTCTATTGTCCATGTCATTCGAGTTCGCATGCTAAATCATTTACCGGTAGGTACTCAATAATCTTATTCTATACTGTGCATAAAGATAAATTGAATCTCTAAAAAATCAGTATCCATTTAGAAGTAAAAATGCACATTCAAATTAATATTAATTAAATACGGAAACCACATGCTATACTTTTTGCAATATGAAAGCAAGTTTACTTTGATATAGCCGAGCGAGAGTCCCCGTTACGTAGAACTGGAGAGTCCAATCAACGTCACGGGGTGTGGTGTACAGCTGGAAGCAGGACAAGAGTATGTTTTTAACGGTATGTGTATTTTTATTCATATTATAGTTTCATAATATGGAAATTATTAGAAAACGAAACTTCATGCAAACAGTTTCTAACTTTCAGTTCGAAAGACTCATAGCTTTCTGTTTCACTGAGTATTTAGGTGTCTGACTATGTAGTTGTTCTTACTCTTTATGTTTCATATAGTGATGAAAATTCATATTATGAAATGTCAGTCTTGATGGAATTTCGTATATGTAAAATTATTTACATTTGCAAACCCTCTAGAGTTACTACAATTGAATATTACACTTGACTTTTCAGCCATATTCCGGCCTGAGATCAATGAAATTAGAGGAAGAATCACAAAGTGTGGCTGGAACGAGAAATGGGCACTAGTTCCAAATTTCATAAAAATCCCACTACTTGGAGATACAATTATATGTCCTCAATTACTTGATCCTGTGGATTATCATATCTGAAAACAAGGGGAGAATTATAGTTTGTTTTAATAGTTATATCATTCCAATAATTGCATAAAATATGAAATGTAATTTACATTAAAACAGTAAAAAATTAAACGAGATGGTGTATCAAAGTAGCTACAGATTACTTTGATTGCATTGACATGTACCTTGTAATCCATCTGATTAATAAAAAGTTATGAATTTTGACTTGACGGAGACAAATCGTTTCCATATAGATACTTAAAGATACACAGAAAATTAAAAATAAGGAAACTGTGTATATGGAATTATGTATGAAATAAAGAGATAACAAACAGTATTCGAGCTCAAAAGTCCATTTAAACAATACAGTTCAGGAGCAGAGCAAACACGGACCTCTTAAATATTAGGCTCCGGGGCCATAAAACTAAGACGAGCTCACTTTTTATCTCAGTCTCACTTTTACAAAAGGGTTAAATATTGGAAAGTTGAGACTGAGATCACAAGTAAGCTTGTCTAAGTTTTATGGTCCCGGAGCCAACGGTGTGATCAAGTGCTAGGATGAGTAAGCATCTCCTGCCAACCGGTCACACCCGGCTTGTTCTCCTTGTCATCATCAGGAATTACGGAAAAATCCGTAGACAATTCAATGTGTAAATTAAAGTCTCACAATAAGTATGAAAAACGTCAGTCAGAAAGTGTTCGTACGTAGAGCATGCTCTTGTGTATCAAACCAAATGAGGCATAACCCTATAGGCAGGTGATAAGGGTATATTGCTACATAAGTAAGAGAAGCTGACGACTGAAAAGTTGAAGTCATCACCTTATCATAAAGTTGTTGGTTGTTAGGTTACCATTAACGTCTTTTCTAGTAAAAATATCCAAATATGAAACAGATGAGTCAGACTCTGTGGTATTCTTAATTTCAAGCTCACTGGGTTATATCTATAATGGGGCGCAATTGGTACCCATGGAAATTCCAACAGATTGCTGGAAGACCTGATCTCAAAAACTACATATATAGATATTGTCAAACAGAAATTCAAGCATCTTTTAAATGTAACCTTCAATGTACTTCTGTGTACATTCAGAATGTTTCTTAACAAAGTAATGCTGCAAATGACCAATGGCAAGACAAGTAAATTTACGAGTTCCATTTATTTTGAAAAAGCAACTGTCAATGATGTCAAAATCCTGGACTTTAATTTAACGTGGGGAATGGTTGTATAAAATATTGAAAAGTCGTACGTTTGGTGTTATGTATTTGGTAAAAATTTTCTAAAAGTTCCTCGGAATTTTAAAGTATCCACATCTGATTTACACCACTTCTTGAATATATTGTTGTACAGTACTCCCTAAGTTCACTACTGTAAATATTTTAGTGAGGAGTAAAGAAAGAGGCTAAGTAGAACATTTATTGTATCCCACTATGTATCTTTGTAAGGATTTTTATGAAGTTTACGAATCCAGTATATGTATGGTAATTCAAATTCATTTTGATTGTTGGGAATATTAAAAATATTTGATATTTAAAACTGACACATAATTTTAAACAATTTCCCCCTTAGAAAGGGAGCAATGGATTACCACTTGCAGAATTAAATTCCAGTTAGTTCCCCTAAAATACAATTAAATGAAACAAGGAGATAACGAACAGTATTCAGGCTCGAAGTCTATTCAGACAATACAAATCGGGAGCAGAACAAACACGGACCTCCTAAAACATCACATTGATTGATTGTATGTTGTTTAACGTCCCTCTCGAGAATTTTTCACTCATATGGAGACCCCACCACTTGCCGGTGGAGAGCTGCAAATTTTGTCCTATACTCGGCACTAACGGCCATTGAGCAGTGAGGGATCTTTTTCGTGCCAGCACCTACTGCGACACGGGACCTCGGTTTATACGGTCTCATCCGAAGGACCGGTCTCCACGTCCCACAGTGGGATTCGAACCCGCGACGTAAGGATCAACTCCTTACTTCGCGACTCTAGAGCAGACACTCTAACCACTGCGCCACGCGGGCGACCTAAAACATCAGAGGTGGGATCAGGTGCCACGGAAAAGCGAGCATTCCCTGCCGAACAGTCACACCCGCCGTGTGCCCCTTGTCGTGACCGGGAAAAGAGAAAAATCCGTTGACAATTTAATGTGTAAATAATGGACCAACAATTAGTATGAAAAACGTCAGTAATAATGAAGTTTACAAACAAAGATAATGTTGTTACCTCCTTTGTAAGCTTGGACCAGTATAAATTGATCGTGTAATCTATCTAATTCTTTTTTCACTTCTGAGTTATTGATCATATAAAGATAGATGGTATTCACACTTTCTTTCAATCGCTTAATGCGAGCTTCTTACATCTAATCCATTTTGACAAAGTGCCAAGGTCTTCTTTTCATGTTTGGCCCATCGCCTGGCGTAATCTTCCACAGAATTTATAATATTTATGAAATTATGACGTCAGTTGAAAGATCGGGGTTCCCTCAACTTCAGTCCTTTTAAAATAAGTAACTGAAGTTCCTCATTAACTATATTTACGTCAGCAGTAATGACGTATCCAGCAGAACCATAGTTGTAGGGTGAAGAAGAACATGAACATGATTGTGGATTCTGTTTCAGATGTTTGCTATCTGAGCTCTTTAGAGTTTTCTTGTAAATTAAGAGTTTGGAAGCAATAGGGAATAACCTTTTGAAAAAAATGACAGAAATTTCTATTCCTAGTAACCATGGCAACATCGTTCATCAAAATAAAAAAAACGATAAAGACAATTTGTGTCACAGTATATTCTACTTGCATGCAAGTTATATGAACATCAGACCAAAACTGTAGGAGAAGTAGCATCTTGTAAATATTTCACAGAAATTTTTAATATTAGTAAGCGTGGCGACACAGTTCATGGAGATCAAGAACCGATTCATAGAAATATGTAGCTTAACGCAATCTACTTGTGAAAAATTTATATTGAAATCAAACAAAAACAGTGTGGTTTATCTGTTTGCCAAGTTATATTGTAATCGGAGCAAAACTGTGAGAGAAGTAGCATTTTGAAAAATAGTCTACAGACGGACGGACGCACAACGGACACCTTACTATCTTCTTGTCTCTGACCAGTAGAGGTAATAAATAAAAGCAGGAGTAAATACTGTTGATCTAGTTGGGAGGGTATGGAGATTTTTCTCAAAATATCAAATACACAAACTGTAAGAATCGTGCGTAAAAGCAACTTATCATGTAAAACACACACACACAAACACACGCACACACACATATACAAACACTAGAAAAATATGTATGCTTGTTGAAATTATAAAATGATTATTGTTCCAGACATTCAAATTTTATTTACACTATATTAAACGCCAAGGTATTTCCAAAGACATTCCCTATTCCAGCAACAGTATATTTCTCCACCACCACTGCTCAGTACAAAAGATTTCATAATCTCACAGTCATCTGCCTAAAAAATTTAAAGATGTATGTATGACGTCAATGAAATATGGAGATAACGAATAGTAATCATGCTCGAAGTCCATTAAAGTAATACAAATCAGGAGCAGAGCAAACACGGAGGTGAGATCAGGTGCCATGGAGGAGTAAGCATCCCCTGTCGACCGGTCACACTTGCTGTGTGTTCCTTGTCATGATCGGGCAATCGTAAAATTCCCTAGATAATACAGTGTGAAAATAATGACCAAACAATTACATGTAGTATGAAAAACGTCAGTCAGAATTCGAGTTAATGATAGATTGTATTTGCTAACAAGGTCTTTGTATCGACTATATAACTTGCAAAATGATGACCGTGAACGAGACTGTTGACATCTTTATTTAATCAATTTGTTTGTCAATAGCTTGCCTCATGTTATTAATTATTTGTATGTAGAGCATGCCTTTGCGTATCGAGTCAACTGAGAGACATAAACTCCATATGCAGGTGACAAGGGCATATTGCTACATAAACAAGGTAGGTTGACGATAGAAAAGTTGAAGTCATCACGTTTATCATAAAGTTTGGTTGTTAGGTCACCATTAACGTCTTTTTCTAGTAAAATATCCAAATATGAAACAGATGTTTCAGCCTCTGTGGTATCTTTTATTTCGAGTTCACTGGGACGTAAAGAGTAGACATATGAATGGAAGTAATCATTGTTAATTGATAATAGGTCGTCGATATATCTAAATGTCGAGTTGAAAGCCACCGCAAGTGTTATCTTCTTCTCATTTATAAGTTCTTAAATAAAGTGTACTTTATATGAATTTAGAAAATATGTCTGCTAAGAAAGGTGAGCAGTTGTTACCCGTGGAAATTTCGAAAGATAGTTGGAAAACTTAATCTCCAAAAACTGCATAGATATTGTCATTCAGAAACTCAAGCATTCTTTTAGTTTCAACTCCGGAGTACTTGTATGTACTATCAAAATATTTTAGAATAAAATAATTTTGCATTTGAACAATGACAAGGTAAGTAAATTTACGAGTTCCATTTATATTGAAAAAGCAGTTATCTATGATGCCAAAAAGTAAAAAAAAAAAGTATCAGAAATCTAAATCTGGTTCCAATAATGACTCTGCATAAGTTTTAAAGAATACATCTCTAACACTAAATGTAAGTAATTTCTATCCTACATAATATATAATTTTGACTTCCACTACACTCAATTTCAATGCTTTTGTCATTGAAGTAAAGAAAAGAATCATCCAAAAGTCATATTGACAATGATTAATCCTTTCAATTTAATTTCCACACAACAAATAGACCCCTTTTTTGCATAAAGTAGTTTTCTTCAAAGAAACTTAATGTTGAATATTCAGGGTTTACCCTTATACAGTGAGTGTTGAATTTCCTGCCAGACACTGAGCGCACCATACACACATTACTGACGTCACAAGTCTGATTCCAAACACAGGAGAGTGTTTCATCACATGTTGGACACTCCGTTTTATTTACTGATCCTGAAAACGTTATTGAATAAAAAAGATTAAATAAAACAACAAAAATTTATCTAGTGTTGTTCTTTGAAATATATACACTGAAAACGTCCTGTTATTTTATCTAATTTTTGTTCAGGTTTGTCCAATGACGTTTTCTTTAGTGGGATATTTTGAATAAATTGTAAAAAAAAAAAAAATATAAGGAAACAATATGGTTTACATATACATATGAAATTTTAAAATCCAATAAGGTGTAGATATGGAAAAAATATAACTGTATTGATTGCCTTGTGATATCTGAGCAGTGGTTAGAAGAGTTTTAGTTGGTGTGTTTGTTGTTGATGTTGTGATATCAGATATTGTTGTTGTAGCATCCCTTGTAGTTGATGGTTTACTTGAAGTTGTTGCAGTACTATAAGAGTAGGTAGGGGAACCCCCTGTGAAATACAAAGCCTCCAGAAAAAGTCTTTCATACGAGTATCTTTTATTTGACTCATTCATCATCTAATCGAACGAACAGTAATTTCTATCCTGTATTTAAAGAATATATATTTTTCGTTACACATGACTTCATAAAACCTTTAAATAAACTGATGACATACATTATGTTTTGATATGTTGTTAGTTATGGGCAATTATCTTCTTATTATCTTGGATTATCTGAGTTTGGAAATTAAAATATCCATTATCCCATGAATTAAAGTTTATTCAATAAATAATCTTTCTGAATTCAGATATCGTATTGTTACATCATAATTCGACACACCAAAATCTTGCTCTTGAACTATAATAAGAATTGGTATATATACTGTTTTGAATTGGAGTGTGTTTGATATCAGAGAAGACTCTGGATAATATTTTAACAAACCATTACAGTATCCGCAGTAAGCCGGACAGTTTGTCCGAGCCCAGGTCTCATACGGTGGCATACAGTAATATTTTTCAAACTGGTAACAGTTGTCTACCTTGTCCACACAGCTTAATCCTGAAAAATAAAAATAAAGTCTACATTTTGAAAATAAAAATGTTCTAATGACAGTATGAAACTAAGGTATGAAACATTACTTACCTGGACATATAAGCATTCAAAATATGCAAATTTACAACCATATCGCTTTTGATTTTTATTGTTATTCTAGTTTTAAAGAATGCAAAGAAAGGAAGGTATGAAACACTGAGGGACAGTACTCAAAGAAATTGTTAAGCTAATGATTGACAGAGCATAAAGAGAAATAAGGAAAATGTTTGTTAAGTAATAAAAAGGGAAAGAAATTTGGAAAAAAGTAATGTTTTGTACATACATTTATTATTCAATGACTGTTACAACACACAATGTTCAAACCTTTATGTGTTGTAGTAGAGGTTGTAGGTACCGTTGTTGAAGTAGGAATGTGCGTGCTTTTTGTGGTGGAAGGAACTGTAGTGATCCACGTCATATTATTAAGAAAAATATTCTACACTTTTTTTTACTTTAATTTTTTAATTCAGTTATTTCAGTCTTACATTTGTAGTATAATCATAAGATATATATGATCACAAATTTTATTCTCAAGTCGAATTCATCAATCATCGAATTACATGCTTTTGGTTTCATATTATAAACATATTCTTGTGAACACATATTTTTTTTTTAATATAAAATAAGATTAAGACACAAAATGTTAAGATTTAGAAGTATGACATTGAATTTACTTGTAAATTATAGTCTTCCTCCTTCTTTTGTGTAAGTCAACATTCTGTATTCAATATTTAGAATCACAACTTACCCAATACTGAAGAAATTGTGAAGTTAATAAAGTAGCTCAGTTACCTGGGGTAGTGGTTATCCTCCTTTGTCTCGCCACTGCACCTATGAGGGCAAACATTTCTTATCATAATTACTATACATGAGTATTTCAAAGGTGATATACTGTAAAGGTATTAACCTCTTCTCCCCAATAAAAAGGTTTGGAGAGATAAATATTAATTTAGGACTGTAATAACATGAATACTTACAAATTCTTTGAGCTACAGCATCTGCATTGTGGTTAAGATCTGCAGAATCAGAGACGGCAAAGTAATTAGAGGGATCCCTTGTTATCCTTGTCAACAAGTTAGCGTTACGTACGTTCACCCCAATGGCTATAACATCGATTCCTTTTGATTGCATCAAATCGATTGTGTGGTTTAATTCAGTTTGAACATCTTGTCCATGGCTACTTTGCCCATGGCTACTTAATCGTAAATGAAAAGGATATTTTCAGACATTTGTGTGCAGTCAGCATACCTGGTTATTATGTTATTTTAATAATATAAACTATTGTGTAATAATTAAATTCTCCAAACTAATTCTTTTAGCTTAGGAAACAGAGAATGTCAAGAAACTGCGATATTTCTTTATATTTTATCTGAGTTAGACTGATTTAATTCTCTCGGTGCCAGACAATACATTCAAGTACATTGCAAGCACTAGTTTGCTGAAGAGTTTACTTAACTGCAGTTATTTCAGAGTGTCATTTAAGGCTGATAAGAGCTTTTAGTTCTATGCCAAAATGACAATCTTTACCCACACTGTATCGCACCTTGCAAAATTGAAACCTCTGTTACCGTTAACCACCTGGGGCCCGTTTTACAAAGGAACTTACGACTACGACCAAAAGGATCAGTGCACTTAAGCTATGAGAGTTGGATCCCGGTGCTTTGCCAATAATAAATTTTCCAAATTTATAAACTTTCTGAATCAGAATTATTAAACAATATTTTAAGAGCAGGGTTTGATATATTATATCACATAAAAATATTAAATAATGCCGAGCGACACTGGTTTTTGCGACAGGGGTCTAGCAGTTTTGTCACATTTCTATTGTTATTCATATGCATACCAGTTTTCAACGACATTGTTTACATCGAGCCGCAACTTGTCCATTCTTCTCATTTGCACAGAATGTGTATTTTGATTTAAACTTATACATATCCAAAGGGCAATGTTGGACAATTTACGGCTCATATGTAATTTTTTTTAAAAATTCTCCAAACTACGCTTGGGTTAGCTACTAAATTAACAGGTCACCGAGTGTCAACCTATTTTGACTTGTTTGATATTATAATCACTTTACTCACGTGACATTCCACTGTTCGATATGCTTTCATTGTGTCTATCAATGGACTTCAGTGCTGTACACACGGACATGTATTTAAGTACAAAATCTGACTACGTACCTTTAATACGGTGAATCCTAAGATTTTTCGAATCTTATAAAACTGTATTAAGAATAGGGCAATGCTCTATTTCTTAATACAAGTCTTAACTTACCTTTCATTTTTAAACCAATCAAAAGTACTCACACTGTGGTCATCCTATTTTTATCATAACAAAAAAACAGCACGTGGTAAATAATGGTCGACTTTAGCAGTAAAAATATCGAAAAACTCGTTTTATGGGAAGAAGATCAAAAGGAGTAACTACATGTAATTGTAAAAGTTGCTCAAATGCAGCGTTATCTATTCTAAAGAAGTTTTTATAACTACTGGGGTCTTCTCTTTGCACCTCATCTAACGATGCATTGTGTGCACCACGTACATATACGAGTGTTCCGCCGCTGTTTCCATTACGATTTTTTTTTTCAGTTTTAATGCAATGCATAATACGATAACAGATACTGCTAACAGAACTTCGTTTTCCATAATTGAGAGAGAGAGAGAGAGAGGGAGAGAGAGATATTGCGAGGGAAACACGTAGAAATCCCTAAAGTCTATTAACAATCTAATAAAACGTATAAATGTGTGTACAGGAAAGTATTATAATACAAATATAATACTTGTATTATATACAGTAACTACAAATCTCACCGGTTGCACCAGCCTGAACAACTTCAAAATAATGAAGAATTTTGCGAAAATTTTATTAGGGTCTTAAAGTTTACCTTGTCTGTTTCACTAAATTGTGTTTTTCGTTTGGTATTTTGAAGGAAATTCTGGTACTGCCAGTGCATATCAAGTGCACGATTAGCATGATTAGTATGCAGCTGTGTTAGCTCATGTCGCCTCTGTATTATGGTCTGCAGGCATCTACAGACCCATCCCTAAACACTAGTATCATGCCTGACAATATTTGGATTGCCGAAATGAAAGAGATATTGAAAACATAAGCGAGTGATTATCGACATAGTAACGTTGTAGAATTTTCGTTGACCATGTTTTTAAATCTGAAATATACTTGTTCCGTCAATAAAATGTTAATTTAAATTACAGATAGTTTGTATTTCTTGGAGTTTTCATGTTAACCTAGCGACTCAAATTTAAGTTAAAATTTTATATTTCATTTCCGAATGTTATTTATCTATACATGCATGTAATAAAATATGTACCACCGTGAGTACTACATACATGTATAATTTGTTTCACTACACGTTTGTATTACTCTACGTACTACATGTACAGTGAATTACGATTAAATGTAGTGTGACATCGAAGTCATGTACATGTGAATCTTTCTTAAAACATACATTCATTCTTTGAATTGAAAAGCATTCAGCATATAAAACGAAAAATGATAAAGCTAAAGAAAATAGAGGGGGCATTTTTTATCATATACGAAAACTTAAGATTGATCCAATTCGGTGCTAGGCATCAAACATCTGGTTACGAATCATGAAAATGATCAATATGTATGGCCATGAATCATTTATTATTTGTGTGAATCATGAAACTACACAATCTTTCTCTCCTCCATTTAAATTCATACTGTAGAATCAATCTGGAAATAATGTGCAAATGTTTACATTCCACTTCCATGCGATTTAAATATTTCCGCCCATTTGCGGGTACCTTTAAATTCGAAAATGGTCCAGTTCAAATTTCCGGAATTTTAAGGCTTATACATGTTCTTTTCAATGACGTTGTGTGGAATTATAGCAATATGTTTAACAAAAAATTCGAAGTATAAATATCAAAAGCATATGTATGCACAATAATCATGGATTAATTTAGCAATATAGTCTAATTCAAGGCTTAAAATGGGTGACCGAAAAGGCTCCAAATGACACTCTAAAGTGCACTCATTCTTTAATTCTGCTTATTACTTTCTATTTTACATTAATTTGAAAATGGTTTAAATATAAAAAAAAAACAAGGATTTAGAAAGAAAATTTTATCCTGGCACATTCAAACAGAATCATTAATTGTGAAAAAAAATTACCTAATTAATTAACTTAAGATGTTGGTCTTTATCGTAAATTCTTTTGTAAAACGTGTAAAACGGACCCCTGAACTTAAATTCAAACGTAAATCACTCCCTGGTTTAATGACTTCATGCAAAACAGGCATGTGATCAATGTTATTTTTTGTAGAAAACAGAAAATATAAATTTAAATTACATGAGATAGTACTTACGATTGATGACTGGGAGGATGACTGTGTGTAACAACTCCGTCAGTTAGAAGAATTACAATGTGACTGCTACTGGGCCTAGCTCCTCGTTCATGTTCAAAACTGGAGGTGTGAACAAATTTAAGAGCAGATAATGTGTCCGTTTGCTTTGCTGTGAAGCTGACATGATGAATCGCGCTTTGTAAATGACGATCGTCTGAATAACTGTTCAGATCAAATTCACGATGAGGTGTACTGGAAAATGTCACTAAACCAACTTGAACCGTGGATCTGCTAATAGTAAACTTTCCAACAAGATTCTCCACGAAATGAAGAACGTCTGAAAAGCCTTCTGGCGTCATACTAGAGGAAGCGTCCAAGAGAAACACAACGTCTGCTTCAATATGCCTGCAATCATCTATGTTTCCAACATTATTGCTGATAATACATGTATACTACTATTTTGAGATTTCACCATAATGAAATGAAATTTTTGGCTGGATGTCAGTGCATTAGTTAAATAATATTCTAAATTGTGTGTCTCATTCACTGTTTCAAACCTGAAATTTCCACAAGTTATTCATGCTAAGGCGTACAAGCGTTCAAAAAACAGCAAAGATTTCAGTCAACTTTGATTTTGACTCAAAACACATTTTGTACGTGCAGACCTTTTACATTTTTCAATTGATCTGTATTTTCAAAAAAATCTGAGATAAAAACATTTCGTCTGGTTTTAGGATAAATTTGTTTTCATAAGATTTTTGACTTTAAATTATCAACACGAGCAATTTCATGCAATCGTCTTTGATGGTTCATTGGTACAACTATGACATAAATAATTGATAGAATAAAATTTTCACCATGTTTAGGATATGCATAAAAAAGAATGACAATGATTTTGTAAGTGTTCCATTCAATAGGAAAGTTTATATTTTATCTTCATTTGTAAATGAAATTGCATAAAATTCAGATTTGTGTTTTTCAAATGCCAGACAAAACACCAAATGGATTTTTTTTCATGTATAACCCTATACTTACAGAAAAATAATAATGGTAATTTTTTTTATAATCTAGTTTTTAGGAAACATCCCCCTTTGTCACAATTGAACGTTATTTTACCATTTCGTGATTTTTTGTTGTTGAAAAAATCATGATACTTGATATTACGACATAATTATCCTTTAATTTCTTTAGAATGTGTTTGGTTTGGTCATTGAATAGTCGTTTTAGTAAACCATAAAAAAAATCAAATTCAACATATATACCTGTATAATATCTTTATATCTCACCTTTAATCAACTGCGTTTGCAGCGTATCCAAGAAGAACGAACAGCAGTCTATTAAAGTTGGGAAAAAAACTTCAATATAATTGTACAAATTTTGAGATGTTCTATGTAGAAAATTTCTATTTTTAAAAACAAAAAAATTATAAAATAATTTTAAATCAACACAAGGGAATTGAATCACAGATTCAACTTCATTTTCTATTCTAACAATTACCATGTATACAATTGCTGCATGACTTTTATTTTATACCCGTAATACTCTTTGTTGACATAAATCTTCTTTTTAATTCTTTAATATCCCACCTTTTCTGCATAAAAATATTTTCTTGCATTTACCTAGCCGCTGAATGATACTAGAACGTAAAAATTTGAAATTTTTCTGAAATGAAATACCGATGCTCGCCCCTCAACTCTGGAGCGAGGTAGTAGAAAAGTCCGATGATAACTAGACGCACCTGACATTAATTTAATAATCATTATACCATCTGAAATGTTTTCAATTCAATATGTATCCATTTTCTCTTTGGTTTTAAAGGAACTTTCTAAGGTGATATTACATGAACATGTACAAGTGTGTAATGGATGAATAACTTTCAAAGATGACATATCCCTGTATTGAAGTATTTATCAGTGCTGTATCATAGTATGAAATATGAAGATAACGAACAGTAATCAAGCTCAAAAGTCCATTAGTACAATACAATTTGGGAGCAGAGCAAATAAGGACCCCTGAAACAACAGAGATGAGATCAGGTGCTCTGAAAGTGTAAACATCCCCTGTCGACCGGTCACACCTGTCGTGTGCTCCTAGTGATGAACAGGAAAACGTAAAAATCCGTAAATAATTCAATGTGAAAATAATGGCTTAACAATTTGTATGAAAAACGTAGGTCGACATTAGACTTAACGATAGATTGTATTGCTAAAAAGGTAATTGTGTTCGACCAAATACTTTGCGAAATATTGACATTAAACGGGGCTGTTGATATTATTATTTCATCAACTTATTTGTCAAAAGCTTGTCTGCTCTAGAAATTGTTCGTACGTAGAACATGCTATTGCGTATCGAATCAATTGGGACACATTTACTCCATACATGTAGGTAATAATGGTAACTGCTACACAAATAAGGGGCGCTGATGATAGAAAAGTTGAAGTTTACACCTTTATCATAAAGGTTTGTAATCAGTTTTCCTTTAATGTCTTTTGCTGGTAAAATATCCAAATACGAAGCAGAGCAGTCAGATCAAATGGTGATTTTTATTTCGATTCATTGGGATATAGATCAAACCAACATACAATTGAATTGAATGAATAGAATTGAACATGAATAAACAGATCATGTGGTGATTTTTATTTCGATTCATTGGGATATAGATCAAACCAACATACAATTGAATTGAATTGAATAGAATTGAACATGAATATTGTAAATTGATAATACGTCGTCGATTTATCTATATGTTGAATTGCACGAAAAAAATTACACAGCAAAAGACTTCTTTTTTTCTTTTTGAAGTTTTTGAATTAATTATGCTTCATATGTATGTGAAAACAGGTGAACTAATAACGGGGTGCAATTAGTACCAATGGGAATTCCAATAGATTGTTAGAAGACCTGATTTCTTAAAAGTACAATTAGATAAACAAACTTTACCACAAAGCGCTAATTGGGAGTGTTAGGTAAAAGAGTTGAAAAGTTGTGATCTTCCATTGAAAAAGAAAACTCAAAAAATGTATGATTTGTACAGTTTGTATTAATTAGTGTGTTAACTTTAATAATTTTGAAATAGGAACTGATAAGGTATTTTAAGATGAAGGACCAAATAGTATGTAAATTAAGGGTTTCCAGTCGTCTGTTGATAATCCTGTGTAAGGTCATGAAGTTGACAAGCAAGGTAAAATAGACTGAAAGACGACCCAAAGTGCTGATATATGATTTACTGGTCCGGTGACTTATTATGGAATGCATAAAAATTATATTAAAGAAATATTGTTTAAGTTTATTTCATAACTGTAGTTTATTTTATATGAAAAAATAAGGAATTGAAGATTATGAAAACATTTTTTTAGTAATGAATTCCTAGAGTGTTTTTTTAAAATAATGTATAGAATTTAATCGGCATGCACAATTTAATCGATTATAAAACAATGAAAAAAATTTAAGTTTAGTAGTAAACTTTCATACTTACAATTTAGAGATAAAACCAGTAAAAATATATCTAAAATTCCTGAAAAAAACAAGAAGTGAACTTTAATCATTTTCAAAATTTCTAAGCTTGTACACTTTTCCGAGACATTGTACAGTAGTTTACTTACGTGAGGCCATATTGTACTTTATCCTTGCCTTTCCAAAAACACTCTGCTCTCATAGGTTATATTATATAACACGAATCGTGACCTTATCTTTCTCCAATACTGTATATTCTATGGTCCGCTATTCAAATTAGGCAATGTTCTATGTACTTGAACATTTTATAGTACATCAAGGTTGTCCACCTGTTAGAATTGCGACAATTGTCTAACAAAATATTGCAAAAATACAATATAAGAAAGACAAAATGCTTGAAATAACAACGTGATCTCTGAATGAAAATTAACATCAGTATTTATAGCCATCAACACAAACATTTTACTGATTAGCTGACTGTTTCAGATTAAATTTACCGTTTTATTGTGTCAAATCATAACATTTTCGAATAGAGCATGAAGGTTTTGAACTAACATTCATACTGTCTTTTTGACACCCCTCCCCCCTTATCAATAAAAATATGCATTATGACTTACTTTACAGTTTCTTTAAGGACAGACGATACGTTCCTCAATAATATATAATTTTTTCTAAGATTTTGTCATTGAAATATTGCTACTTTAACATGTTTACTTGCAAAAAATTGAGGTACCTTACCAGGCATTTGAGCAAGATACCAGAGGATGTTTTTCCTATAAAATCATTTTGGAAAAAAATTAATTAGCCAATAACACATTTTTTGGTGTTTCATTTTTTAAAAGACAATTAGAAACAAGTTTAGAAATCAGAAGGTAATTAAAATTTTGAATATCTTCCACATAATTCGAAGGTATACAAAACAGATATTTGAGGAACGTATCGTCTGACCTTAAGTTATCATAATGCAAATTTTTATTTATATAATAGTGTTGTGCTTTGCATGTACTATGCCTAAATTGTCAGGATTTCACACATGGTGACGAGCCGGAGGAGAGTGCACTATGTGTCAAACCCTGACTACTACAGTTACTAGTATTTAGGCATAGTAAATGCAAAGTACAACACTATTGTTATTATTATGCTGACTGTTTTATGAAAAATACAATCTAATAAATTCCTGTGTGCAGAGGTAAAATCTCATTGATAAATTTTAAATAGCGTTTTCAATTATCTCTGGACTTTGTGTAATGATGTGTAAACTGTAATAAATAGAGTCTCAACTCATTTTTATTTGTTTTAATTATATTTTTTTAATTTACGATCAATGTTTTGGGCAACGTGGAAAGAAATTTTGACCTCTACTACCAAAGTGAATGTAATTTAACGAATTTATGAAGGAAGTTGTTTGTGATAAAAAAAAAAAAGTAGCCCGAAACACATTTTATGGTTTAAATTACTCATTTCCAAAATCACGGGTTAAAAGTCTTTATGGAAACATTGACAAAGTGTTCATTTATTTTCTTGCAATTTTTTTCTCATTCTGATTTATATTTTATCTTAATCACATAGGTCTTGCAGATTTTGAAAATAAGTTGTCCTTAAACATATTGAAAATAAATAATATGCCTACTGCCAAGAAAATAAATAATCCGTCTCTTGTCCTCCTGAAAATAAATATTCTTTTCTGTAAAGGCTTAAGAATACATATTTATCAATTTTTAAACGGAGGCATGCTAATGACAAATAAAAGGATGTTACAAGGATTTCTATTAATTAAAATAAGTAAGTTTTCCTTAAATTCTACGGTCGTTATAATAACCTTTTGAGTAAATAAAACCTATCGTTGGGTCGTATTTTATCTGCCATGGTTTATACCAGAAATTTACATAATTTACTCAGAGCATAAATTTACATAATTTACTCAGAGCATGCTCTTATGTATCGAATCAGTTGGGAGACATAAACACCATATGTAGGTGATTTGGAATATTGCTACATAAATAAGGGAAGTTGACAATGGAAAATCTGAAGTCATCCCGTTTTACATACAGTTTAGTTATTAGTTGGTCATTATCGTATATAGTCAGTAAATTATGTAATTTTAATCATTGCTTTTATACTAAATTTGACTACGGAGTACTCCGTCTACCTGAACAATACATTGGACTTCGGAGGGTTTGACCGGTCGACAGGGGATGCTTACTTCTCCAGGGCAACTGATTCCACATCTGGTGTTTCAATACATCCCTGGTTTTGCCCTGTGCACGATTCGTTTTTTTTTTTTTGGCTTGATTTATGAGATTGATCACTGTTTGTTATCTTCATCTTCTACATTGACATTGGTAAATTTTGAATATACTGGGTGAAGTGAACGAAAAATATACAAAATAACATCATGCTGTAAATTTTGCACTTACCTGTAACCTGTGGTCTAAAAAATCGGGATTGACGACAAGAGAGTCCCAGTGCACAGTGTATATTTATTTTGCCCAAAAAAGTGTGCTGTTTCTGGATTAATAAACTGCCATGTAAAAATATTCCTAACCTTATATTCCTAGCTAAAGTCTTTTGCTATTGACACAACAAAACATTCTTAAAAGCGTTATTAATAGCGCTAGCCCTTTTGGGTCTGAAATTGAGACAATCAAAAATTTAGCATATTTATACTGCCATTTTGGGAGGCAAGAGGTCTAAGAATTTTTTTTAAATCAACTTTTGTGCACTTGAGGTAAGAATTTGGAGAAATAAATCCAGAACCAAATGCAATTTTTTGTGTGCAATAATACTCTAGAGGACTATTGAACATATATTTATACTTTCCTTGCAAATTTAAAAATCTTTCATTCAATCTACAGGTATATTCTCCCAGACAACTTTACTGTATGGTGGTATTGAAATTCATGTAGAGTTTACAAAACCCTTATGTTGCTATACGTTGTACGTGACAAGTATATCATTTAAAGATTTTTATACTTATTCTTCTCTCGCTACACACAGGTGTAGCAGGGGTGACAGTATTTTTTTTTCTTTTAAAAAGAATGTTCTGTATCCCTTACAACTGTCTCGGTACGTAAGAATACTAGTGTAGATTAGCACTGGTCTGTGTTTCTGTAATAATTTTTTTTCATCCCATAATATATTAGTATTTTCGGGTAACAAATTTATAAATACAGAAATAAGTGCCTGTGAATATTAACGATTAACATTCTGTCTAGGGGGGCAAATGATAAGTCTGTACTAATTAAGGTAATTTTAAGTCCGTTAAATGAACAGTGAATTCAATTCGTAAAAATGCATACATTTATTTCAACACTTTAAACTAAAAATATAGGAAGAAACGATAAAAATATGATTACTTATATACACATGTAATAGTATTTCATTTTGGATACAATTATATATAAACTGGAAGGTGTACACTTATTTTTACTGTTGTAACAAAAGTCAGTTACGTTCAAACAAGGAAGCATGATTAAATATTGTGTGATAAGGTCGTTTATCAATTTGAAAGGGGGATTTTCTAGTACACTATAAACGAAGAAAAGGAGGTACCTGTGATATTTTTACGACATGAAAAGTAAACAGTTCAATCCTATTGCTCATAGTATGAATGGAAATTATGCACACAAAATGGCGACCACCTCCAAAACTGAACAAAACTGTGGTAAGTGTCTCTTGTTTATAAGATGAACATTAGCAACTTTACCTGATACTTAAGGTAAATTATTACACAGCATCACAAGAGGAAAAAAGTTTGACTGAAGCTAAATTAGAAATAATCACATTTCAGGGAGGTGTCTTTATCCCCCTTTCACTAATATAGGTACCCCAACACTGATAGAATTATACAAGTAAGTCTGACCCTGTGGCGGGCCTATGATTTCTTTGATGAAGTCCCAGAACGAGCTCGGAGAAACAGAGAGGGGGACTCGGAGTAAATTTAACATTGATATTTGTGGGTTCAAATTCATTTTCCATCTTATTTTATTAGCAAGTGAAGAACTGAATACACAACGTTCATGCTCCCTTTAGTTTGCTGTCTAGAATCGAATAATTTGGAAGATTAAGGTTCATAAACAATCTGCTCACTCATATAAAATGTTTCTTTAACGCTTATGATTTTCCAAAAGAAATGTATTTGTTAAGTAAAATACAAACAATTATTGCAGAGCTTGCAGGGCAAACTCGGGAAAAAAAGACACTTCAACTTGACAGATTTATAAAGGAATAATGGACATTTATGCCATTAAAAGTTATCTCTCTTATCAGAGTATCGATGAACCTTAAAAGACTCATGACTATTTTTCAGGTTTTCTTTAACTATGAAGTATCTGATAAAAATCTTAGATATATTTTATTTCTTTTTAATAGGTTGAGTGGCCATCTAAAAGAAAACAGAATAAAGAAATAGAACATGCGCCAGGGGGAAATATTCCTGTTAGCTTTTGGAATATTACTTATATTATTAGCATCAATATACTTTTTGAGGTGCAATAAACAGAAACTCAAGGATTGTTGTACAATATATTGCGAGTGCTTCCTATCACTTGGAGATTGTGCATGGTGCAGGCAAAGACTCTCATCTGTGTTAAGAAGATCCAATGGTGAAATAAGTACAAATAGACGAGACGTCAGCACAATTGGGGATGAAAATCCGGGAATTTATAATGTTAGCTATGATCCCCCGTCCTATGACTCTGTGATATCAGACAATAGAGACCCTGATTTGCCGACTTATGAAGAAGCAATATCTCATGTTAATGAAATGGAACGGAGTGCAAACAAAGCATGATTTCAGTGTGTGTGTGTGTGTGTGTGTGTGTGTGTGTGTGTGTCAAAGAAGCATGAAACCAACTGCAATAAATGAAGGGTCATTCGAGGCCTCAATATAGTAATACTGCAAATGGAAACGTCATGCTTTTAGAACACTGTTAATCATGTTGAGATTTTCTCTGCTGTCAAAGTAGGTTATCAAATTCATTGTATGGCAAATAGATTTTTTATTGCTTTAAACAGTATTCAACTATTTAGATCACATAAGTCACTTTTATATAGTATTGTCATTGTATTTAGATTAGACTGGGAAAGTCTTTAAAAATCTTCAAGATTCCTGTCTGTTCAAACCATGTTCTCTTTTATAAGGATGGAGCCTCAGAAAGGGATTTACATACAAACATACACGTCTTTTTTTTTAAACTCTACTTAAGAACTATTAGGCTGCAAATTGTCCTAATTAGTATGCCAAAATTCTTGTGTATTGTAGATTCAAGATTGTTAACTATGGTCCCCAAGGTACGGATGGGGTTACAAAAGAACCTTTTAGGACAAAATCTTCCTAAGAATTACAGCAACAGATTGTCAAAATTAAATTTAAATCCATAAATAAGCAGATTTAAGGCTATCCATTTTATGCTGCCTAGAACAAAAATTAGGACAAACAGTTTGTTTTAATTTTGATTTGAAAATCTTATTTTTGAGAACTACTGGAATTTGTATGCATCTTACAGTAGTGTTTCATTAAGTATGTTAAAATTTTAATGATGACATGTAATTAAGGATGAATAGGTGAAGGGGTCACTGGTATATGATAGAACTTCAAAATAAATCTTCTCAAAAAGGATAAGACTACAAAATAATATGAAAATATCATCATATGAATTCAAATTTGTTAACATTTCCCCCCTTTGAACAAGCAGGATGCATACAGATTATCGGTTATTACAATGTTAAAGGTAAAGATAGCGAACAGTGATTGATCTCAAAAATTCCAAAAACAATACAAATATGTGAACAGGGCATAAAACACGGACCCCTGGAAATTCCAGAAGTGGGATCAGGTGCTTAGGAGGAATAAGCATCTTCTGTTGACCGGACACACTTGCCGTGAACCCTATATATTAATCAGGTAGACGGAACTATCAATTCAGTACAAAAAACAGAGGCCTAACAATTGGTATGAAACAAGTTAGCCAAAATAAGACCCAATGATTAGGTAATGTTTACTAACAAGATCATAAAATTTACGAAATGCTGACTTAACGAGGCTGTTGAAATCCCTGTTACATCAACTTATCAGTAAATAGCCTGCCTCGCTTAAAAAATTGATCGTATTCAGAGCAAGCTCTTGAGTAATGAATAAGGTGGGAGAAATAAACACCATAAGCAGATGATAGTGGAATATTACTACATAAATAAGGAAAGTTGACGATTTAAAAGCTAAAGGCATCTCGTTTGTCATACAATTTAGTTGTCAATAGGCCTTTATCGTCTTTATCGTCTATAGTCAGTAAAACATCTAAAATATAAAACAGATGTGCCAGAATATGTGGTGTCTTTTATTGTCCCCCGCTTTCACTTTCGCGAAAGCGAGGGGACATTAAATCTCATTCGTCTGTCAGTTTCTCCGTCTGTCAGTCTGTCTGTCACAAAAACTTTAACCTTGGCATAACTTTTGAGTGAGAAGAGATTGGACTTTCAAATTTCACATATACATTACCTATAACAAGACCTTTCCAAATATACTGTGATTTTTGACCCCGTGACCTTGGCCTTGAAGTTTGACCTACTTTTCAAAAAAATCATCATTACTTTAAATTGGTCATAACTTTTGAATGAGAAAAGGTAGGGATTTATTATTATACCTGTATATTACCTGTGACAAGACCTTTCCAAATATACTACGATTTTTGACCCCATGACCTTGACCTTGAAGGTCCAAAATTTTATCTTTACTTATAACTTTTGAGTGAGAAGAGATAGGGCTTTTATATTTGACATGAACATTACCTGTGACAAGGTGTTTCCGATTATGCTATGATTTTTGACCCTTTAACCTTGACCTTCATGTTTGACCTAAATTTAAAAAAAAATAACTTTGGTGATTTCTTTTGCTTGACATATGATAGGGCGTTCATATTTGACAAGTGCATTACCTGTGTCAAAATGTTTTTGAATATGGTATGATATTTGACCCCGTGAGCTTGACTTTCAAGTTTGAACCAATTTTCAAACATTTCATGAGTGTTGCTAACTTTTGAAGGAGCAAAGATAGGGCATTCATATTTGAATCGTGCATTACCTGTGACAAGAATTTCCAAATGTACTATGATTTTAAATCCCATAACTTTGACCTTGAAGTTTGACTTAATTTTTTAAAAGTTGAACATTGCTAAAAACTTTTAATTGAGAGAAGATATGGTATTTACATTTGACATGTGCATTAGCTGTTTCAAGACCTTTCCGATTGTATACACTGTACTCTGGTTTTTGATATATATATATTTTTTTTACATGTGCATTACTTGTGACAAAACATTTCGGATTTTATTATGATATTTGACCTCATGACCTTGATCTTTAAGTTTGATGTAGTTTTGAAAAGCTTAATTTATGTCTTTTTGTATAATGCACAAACAAGAGAGGACATACTAACAAGACAGTTACAACATGCTATATATAATGACATCCCATCCACTAAGACACCGAAAGCGGGGGACCACAATTCTTTGAATTTGCTTGTTTCAAGTTCACTCGGATATATTGAGTCGACATACGAATGAAAATAACTATTGTTAATTGATAAAACATCGTCAATATATCTGAATGTCGAATTGAAAGCAACAGCTAGTGTTTTTCTCGTCTCGTGTAGAAGCTTTTGAATAAATTCTGCTTCATAGAAATAAAAAAAAAACAGGTCAGCTAATAAAGGAGCACAATTAGTTCCCACCCCCGGAATTCCAACAGTTCGTTGGAAAACTTGGTCTCCGAAGACTACATAAATGTACGTTGTCAATGAGGAACTTCAGAGTACTTGTGTGTACAATCAGAGTGGTTTTAATGAAGTAATTTTGCTGATGACCAATCACAAGGTGTGAAAATTTCGTTTCGTTTTTATTTAAGAAGCAGTTGGATTTAATGGGGGAAAAGGAAGAATAAAGGAAAATACAGCTTGGTACCAATAAAAATGGCTAGTCTCTTACCCAATTGTTTTAATAAATGTTACATTTTATTTTCTTCATTACTGTTTCTTTGTTTGCCTGTTTTCGGTAAAATGAATACTAGTAGCTGATTTGAAAATTGCAATTCTTTTTAAAAACATCTGTACAAATTGATGGTTTGATGTTAGCATATTACTATTTTAAAAAGATTGTACAAATGTAACGATTTGCACACAAACAATAGAATTCTCGGAAATGCATTTTTAAAGCAACAAACAGGACAAATATTTACTAGTATTATTCTACTCAAATTGTCTCAAAGAAAATCTTATGCTTAATGTAAATTTGAAAAAAATTCAGTCATTCAAAATCTCTATAATCAAAGATATTGCATGATACTTACATGTATTCAGTGTGTGTCATTGCTTTGAAACAGGCATCTTACACTGATAAGTATAAGGGGGCTCGATGTGATCTTATGTCTTTTCTACAATATGAAGTAAAATTCATACAATCAATTAGAATCATGGAGTATAATAAGATATCTCAAATTAGTATAATAAGATATCTCAAATTATTTAAAAAAAAAAAAAAGAACAACGTAAACAAATTCTATCAATAATAATATCAAAATTTAAGTTATAGATTTCCAACAGAATCAATGACATGAAATATGGAGATAACGAACAGCATTCAAACTCGAAAGTCCATTGGAACATAACAAATTTGGAGCAGAGCAAACGCCGACCTCTAAAAATATCAGAGGTGAGATCAGGTGCCATGGAGGAGTGAGCATTCCTGTCGACTGGTTACATCCGCCGTGTGCTACTTGTTATGATCATGACAGACGGAAAAATCAATAGGCAACTAAGTTTGAAAATAATGGCCTAACAATCTGTATAAAAAACGTCAGTCAACATTCGACTTAACAAGAGATTATACAGTTGAACTTCATATCTCGAAGACTGTTATCTCGAATACCATGAATAAGTATTTGGAAATTCCAACCACTTATTCTTTAAGTATTTTACCCCTGATATCTCGAATCCTCGGACTCGGTTTTTTTCTCGGTCCCATCGAGTTCGAGATAACGAGGTTTGACTTTACTTGCTTACATGGTCAATGTATCAACCATAGAATTTGCGAAGTACACTTTATGGGCTTTTGATTTCCTTCTATCATCAACTTATTTGTCAATAGTTTGCCTCATTTAGAAATTCTCAGTACTTAGAGCATGCTCTTAAGTATCGAATCAGCTGTAAGAATAGAAAAGTTGAAGTCATCAGGTACATAAAGTTTTATTGTAAGTTTTCCATCAAAGTCTTTCTCTAGAAAAACATCCAAAGATGAAACAGATGTGCCAGGCTTAGTGGTGTCTTCTATTTCGAGTCAAAAGGGATATATCGAATCAACGTAGGAATGAAAATGACTATTGTTTATTGATAAAACGGCATTGATATATCTAAATGTCGAATCGATTATTTGTTTGTTGCTTAACGTCCCTCTCGAGAATTTTTCACTTAAATGGAGATGCCACAACTTGCCGATGGAGGGCTACATATTTTGACCTATACTCGGACCTCAGGACCATTGAGCAGTTAGGGATCTTTTTCGTGCCAGCGGCTACTGCGACTCGGGACCTCGGTTTATACGGTCTCATCCGAAGGACCGGTCTCCACGTCCCGCAGTGGGATTCGAACGCTCGACGTAAGGATCAACTCCTTACTCCGCAACTCTAAAGCAGATGCTCTAACCACTGCGCCACACAGGCGACAAATGTCGAATTGAAGTCCACAGTAAGAGACTGTTTCATTTCATGTACAAAATTTTAAATAAATCTGCTTCATATGAATACAAATAATAAGCATCTGTGTGTGGTTAAATCGTACTCGATGTGATGTAACAAAAGATATCAAAATTCATGCATGAATATTGTAGCAAATTATAATTTTTGAGTGGTAGTATCTTCAACTTTTACATACATGTACGTAAATACCACAATATAACTCAAGTTCTCTTCAAATCGATGCAAACATATTTTGGCTATTTGTATTTCATTATGATAATTAATCTGGG